TTCTTAAATTCAGCAAATAAACCCTTCGAAGACGTGTTTGCATTTTACTCGAGGAATTAGTGTTATTCTTCTTGATTGAGAGTTGATAATGAAACTTGGCAGAGACGTGAGAGGAAATTCCACGGAAATTGAACAAGCAACTGGATCTTCTTTGCAAGTTGAAGGCTTGGAAGGAGACATCTCGAAAACCGATCTGATCGGTGGCAGGATCGTTATGATACGATTTTTTTTTCTCTTCTTCCTTCATAAACGATCAGATCTTCTTATCAATGCAATATTTTCTAAGGGAGACGAAGTCAATTGCTTGCCCGAGGATCGTTTTCCTCCAAACATTCGCCGAGATTTTCCAAGTTTATCGAGGATCCGGTTCGGTCGTAAAAGCTGGGCGCGTAAATTGTACAATTTATCGAACAAGACCGGTTGTTTAATGTAATATTTCAAATACAAGTCGACTGACAAGCTTCTTTCCGGAAAAAAAAAAAAAAACAAGAGTGCGTCAAGCGGAAGCGTTTCGTCAACATTCTTTTAAAATTCGGCGTTCGAGATGCCCTTAACAATTCCCTTGGTTTCGCAAGAATTTCGCCGATCGTCCGTGAACGATGGCCGCGCGTCGGCTGGAAATTTTCAATCCCGGCGAGAGGTAAATCGGTAACCGGTTCGTTGAAAATTTCACTCGTGATCGTGCCCGATGCGCCTCGTGTGTTCGACTCGGATTGCGTTCGCGTTCGTTCCTTATTCTCGATCGTAAAACGATAGCCGGTAGAGACGCTCTTCTCGACTTAATGTCGATCGGCTCACTGTGCACGTGAAACGCGCTACGTGGCAATTTCTGTACGTACGAAATTTTGTAACAGCTGAAGAAATAAATTAACGACGGATGAACGAAAATTTCTCTCGCAAGGAAAAGGAAATTTCTAAACGGAGGAATTTATATAATTGGCAACTAACGTTGAACGGTTCGAACCAAACGACCGGCATGAGAGTTCGAAGTTTGTTTAACACTCTTACAATTTTTTTCGTTATATCAAAGTCATTTGGTGCACTTTTGTTAAATGGACAGTTTTATGTTTCTAGAAAAAAAAAAAAAAATGTGCAAAATGTGACATCTCATAACCGGTCGTTTGACAGTCGGAAGGAACTAAAAATTTATCCTTTCTCAACTCGCTGGGGATTGACAGTCAACTTTTCGTTCGGGCGACGACTGTCGAATGTTGAGAATCAAAAAAATACGTTGTAATTTTAACGAAGTTTGTCGAAACATTCCAAAGCAAAAGTTTGGCTTTACAAAAAGTGACGGCCTATTTTGGTTAGCTTTCTGTATAGCAGCCGAATATTTTTCTCTTCCAATAATTTCGCACATTTAGTTTGTGTGTACTTCTGCATTGGCTGCGCCGTTTTCCTCCGACAAAACGTCGAGAGAAAGAAAAAAGAAAGAAAGAAAGCGCAAAAATTTCACCGACGAAAAGAGAAAATAGTACTACGTGAGGATGAGTTGGAAGAATTGGAACTAACTAGAAACGTCGGTTGTTATCTGTAGATGCTGTCGATGAGCCCAGGAATGGAGGTGAGAAGCAGCAGTCACGGTGGCCTCGGTGGTGATCCGAGCGGTGGTGGCGGCGTGGTGGGCGGAGGCGTTGCCGAGGTGAACGGCAACGGGGACGCAGCCACCGACGGGATCCAGGAAGCGATGGTGGCCGCGGCTAGGGACCGGGCGATACGAGCCGGAAGTGTCCGGCAGGATCTCGCCCTCGACCTACCCCCGCGACTGCAGCTTCCCGATGGCGAGGAACGTCCATACGGTGCGCACACCACCTTCCATCTTCGCGATCCTGAACAGGTGAGTGTCTCCCTCTCCACTCTCTTCCAATATTTAACTTTCAATATTAACTCTCTCTCTCTCTCTCTCTCTCTATTAACTCTTGTTCCTTCAGGTTTAGGTGATGAGTTTCGAGACTGTCCATTCTCTCTTTTTCTTTGTAGTTCGGAAAGTTTGCATTTCTTCAGCAATAGTTGACTGTCGAAGAAGCTGACGATGTTTAGGCAGGATCGCAGCATCGCACCAAAGAATTCTGTCTTCGCAGAATGTTTTTGAGAATCTCGCAATTTCGCCGACAATTTGTAAATTCCCCTATTTCACACGCGCGTTCCGTTGGGCTAGAAAAAATGGCCAACTTCGATTAGGCAATCGCAAGGAAATTTCGATTTTCGGGCAAGTAGTGAATGAGTTACTAGTCGGACGCGAAGCTTCCGTCGGCGAACCTGACGCGGAATGAAAATTACAACAAAGATGACACGGCATTCCAGAGACAAAAGACTGTCCAACTATAAATCCTAAAAATAGTAGAACGTCTGAAACATTTTTTCTTTTTTTTTTTTACGCATCTTCTTTGCGATGCAAATTGCAAAAAGTATGTAATGACGCAGATTGCCATTGGAAGGGGAAATCTGTTTTTTCCCCGACTATGCAAACACCGTCGCCGCGCGCGCGACGTTCCGAGCTTTATGCATAGAAAAACCGGAAAAGTTTCTTGTATAAATACAAAAGAAGCGGCTTGTAAAACTATTCAGCTGCTGATGAAACTAAATAAAAAATGAAAATCCATCTCGTCCAATGCCGCAGGACTTTTCAGTCTCGCGCGCCAAAGAAAAAGGCGCGTCATAATCAGCGTAGCTAATTGCTGAGCGTGTGTGTGTGTGTGTGTATGCGCACTAGTTTAATAACACTTACATCTATGCTTACATCTACGTTTACGATCTCTTAACGGAGAAGGGAAAACTCGAGGAAGAAGGGTGCATGTAAGCAGCACACGAGGCTTGCACGCTCGACACCTGCGAGTCGCGTTCCACGCGAGCCAACCAAGAAGACGAGAGAGAGAGAGAGAGAGAGAGAGAGAGAG